TGCAAACTTTGAATCACTTTTTCTGATGTTTCTTTCAATAAATGACCAACTTCAAGCAAAGTCTTCATTACGCCTTGAATAAAGGTTTTTACATCTCTTCAGTATCAGCTGCAAACCCAACAAGATTTATATCAAACCAGACCTTACTTTCCAAATATTCTGCCAAACTATAAAATTAAAAAAGACATATAAACTTCTATCACTACTTTCCATTTACTATTGCATTTTCAATTACTATTGCAAAGCTGAATTTAACGCAAATCTCAAATTCTTCACAATTACGCTCATAAACTGGGCTTGCAGTCGTCAATACGAAGGTAGATTAGCCAATTCTACCCTGTTGACAGCCATCTGTGTTTACTATAAATTCAGATAATGAAAGAAGAATTGATACATTTTCTGCTACCACTGTAGTTGTACTATTGATGCTCCCATTAATGGTGTGTAATTGAGTTTAATTAAAATTGTCAAAATTACGAACTCTTCTGAATTGCACTCATAAACTGTGCGTGTTTCTCACCTTTTATAAAATAATATTATAAGAAGATCAGCGAAAGTTAGCACATGGTTGGTTTTTCATATTTACCAATAAACCAAACAAGGCCTAAATGAATCACAAGTAATTTTGTCGATTGCTAGAGCAAATAGAACCTTTCTTCATCAAGAATCTCAATACAGAATGTGACATGGAAAAATGCTTGGCCTTAATTAAAATTTATATCTGTTCTGTGACCCGAAGACACCCGTTGAAATGTGGTGTTTTGGAATATTTCGACTGCATCTGCGGGTGTTGATAAGACCTAGGCGAGGTCGAAACTGCAGTCCACTTCAGCCTGAATGAATTTTGGAAAAATATGGCTATTTAAAATTCAATGAGAATGTATGGTTTACTCGTATTATTGGGGGAAAAATTCAACTACATATGCCTTTACGACCTTAAGCGATATAGGGTGAATATACATCATATATAATTATCAAAAGTATTGATAAATTTCTACCAATACTTTAGTTATCCTACTGAAGTTTATATGAGTAGTGTTTAAATAAATTGAGCAAAAATTACGGAAATTCAATTCTCTATAAGTTACACTCATAAGCTGAGCCTGTTTATCCTCTTTTTCAGAACTCGATGCAGAACGAGATCAATCAAGTTTATCACGTCGACGGTCTCCTGAAGCACGAACAAAATCGCGCTTTTGCTGGCCCAAGACGTCCCACAGACGGTCGTGCAGAATGGACAAGTACAAACGACGGCCAGGACCGATGGTGAGAGACTCAGAATTTAGCCAGCCAAGGTCGGTTAAAGTGAAGTAAAGACTCATATTTGCGAGTTCTCACAATCATGTGACTGAGTCGTTTTGACCTCGCTTGAACTGGTCCCCTCAACATGCCCAAGAGGATGTGATATTTGCTCTTGAGTCAGATGGCATCTGTAATAGCCAGCAACATGGCCACGACAACCGATGGGGGACAGGACAAATGTAGCAGTTAGGGCATTCCTGATTTTCACTTTCGAGAAATCTACTTTTTGATTTGCATCGAAAGTTAATATATTACTTATTTTCGTAGTGAGTAGTTTTCGAGACTATCAGTAATTTTGTAAGCTATCTTTGCTGAATACGATTTTATTCCAGCATTACTGATTGTTTCAAAGAGTGCTTATTTCTAAAAAAATTCGTAAAGGACTAAATCAGTGCATAAGTTTTCCTCAATTTCACGACAATGCTGCTGCTGCTGCTGTCGTTTAGGCTTTGTGTGGCCGGTGTGCAGACACGATTGCTGCTTGAATGCAAGAAGACGACAGTCTCTTCTGCCCAGCATATTGTCGCTTGTTTTGTCTCACACGTCACTGCGCATCTTCAAGCAAATACTCCTCCAACTTGTCGGCCTCCTCTTCTGTCCGGCATGAAGAGGATTTTGTAAAATTTACTTCGTCGTTGTCACGCAAGAGCTCAGACCGTCGGATTTTGATGAGAAATTCCTCGATTGCGATGGATGAAAGTGATTTTAAGCAATTTATTTGCTCACCTCTTCTTGCCTTGCTGCCTCATTATTTCCTTCAGTTGGTGGTATTTTTACTTGTCGCCAGATAGTCACTTCATGCCCTACGGTTGGGTCCGGCTTGTGTGTATGTCGTCAGGACTGCTGGTGACTATTTTGGATGTTGTCGGCCGTTGGGAGTTGGAAAAGTGGGCCGGCGCCAAAACCGTGTCTACACAATGCCAGTTAATGCTCTCGGACGATGTGATTTTAGTGATGCCCATCCTATGCAGCGCATCTTGTCTGGGCTTGTCTGCTTGTACCCGTCTGTCTGGCTGACCACTCCCCCAATGAGTCGTTGATGGTCAACGGAGATGTACATTTCTCAGATGAGCAGTCGGTCACCAAGCCCCAGGCCGTTAGCGCCCATCTAAGGACGGATAAAGTAACATGGTGACATGAATCCCCATTTCGAAGTAACTGTTGGTTGGAAGCAATTCTTGAAATGGTCTCACCGTTTCTCTTTTCGTTTAGCATCGTTTGTGCGCCATTTGGTACATTATGCCATTCTGCTGCGAAAATGTCTTTCACGATGGTACAGAAGAACGCTTAACACAGGTTTATTGGAGGGTCGCAGTAGGGTGAGATATCGACGATTTGTTCACACAGTCCAACAATCCTTACTCCACTCCGCGTCAATCCTCTTTCGGTTTGAGGTGAAAACATTTCACAAATTCTTCCAACCAACTTTTCCTTCGAAATGCAAAGTCATCTCAGGAAATATTTTCCAAGAACTGTCAGAGTAATGCTTTTTTCCAAATGAGCCTACCTCAGCCCCACCTTGCAGGAGGGTTGCATTTGCGGTGCCAACATGACACGAGTTCAGGTCATGCGCATCAAGAGAACGCCTGCAGGTCACCGGTAAAATGCAACTTAAGGGGACTCAATTTCACACTATACTCATATTGAAATAAGTAGTCTCTTGTCTGGAGGCTGGGCCCAAACTGTCGTCTGCAAGCTCGTGTGAATAAAGGAGAACTGGGAAAGTGGAAAATGAGATAGAATCCACCCGACGCATATGGTCTGCCCAAAATTCGCTCAGGACTATCAGAAGGAGGGATGTTTTACTGGTACACAATTAAAGCAAATATCTGAAACCTGAAGTATTCAATATGGAATCGCTATGGCTCCGACAAAATGATAGATGAACAGTTGTAAGAAAGTGGTGATTTGCTGAGAAGTTGCGATTTAGTGTCTATGTTGTTTACACAAGCCTTAGGGATAAGGTGAGATCACTAAGTTATGAATAGTACACAATCCGGCTCTATCTTACCTCTTCTATGTGCCCATAACTAAAAAATAGATAAATAAATAAAAATATATACGTATAGAGAAATATACAATAGTTTGGCCATTCAACTTTCATGTTTTTCGTTCTGCTTCAACTCAAGTGGGCATTGGAACGTCTCGGTCACGACCTTCGCTTGACACATTGAGCCTCGATGATCAGAGCTTGACGCTGACCTTTTGTGGTCAATCTGATTTAGGATCAAGATTGCATCAGGACGTTAACACACACACACACGCATGTTTGTGAATTTTCGTCATTTGATTATGAGTACAACGGAGAGTGTTCTTAAACTATTTTAGACGTGACACTTTTGCAAGAATGAATTTCAGCTTTGACGACGGCGCACGAAAGAGAGGACCGTTTTCACATGACTCGAGGAGGAATGCCTCGTCGACTGCGCTACGCTGAACGTCGTTTTACGGCCAAACGAGCGCAGTTCAACGCAAGTCACACCTCGTCTTCTGGTGATATTGAAGCACATACTTTCATGCAAAATGGTCTATCACCAACAATCTACAGAAGCTAACAGAACAGCCAACATTCTGAATGCAGGAATTTGTTGTGGTTGTTGGGGCGGCTGAAGTGGAGAAATGAAGATCCGCTGCACAAAAGGAGGAGGCTTGAAAGCTGCAAGTCTGATTAGAACTCGCACACTTTGCATGAATTCGGCCTGCACACATACACTAGACAATGGGACCTACGTGACAAAGTACTAAATCATACGCTTGATTGTTGTATGAAAGAGAACAATTGCCATCATCTCTGCTTCCTTCTCCGGCGACAACTTGCCTCTTCTACAAAACTGAAATGCCTCAGTCCGATTGCAAAGTTGTTTAGACGTAGTGAGTGTGATTGCTCGAAGCATCCCTTTTTTGGCCTATTTTGTTTGGTGTGTTTTTGCATAAACTATGATTTATCGTCTGTCGCGACAACATATGAAACGCCCAGCATAGATTCATCAAAGTTGCAAGAGGATGAGTCGAAGATTGGGTGGCACAATCCGACAGTCTTCACTCCATTCCGGTCAATCTTGCTTCGATTTGCGGCCAGACATTCTCACCAATTCACACAAACCAACTTTTCCCTAAAAATCAAAAAGTTGTATGTCCAATTGTTCTGCCAAATTCGTTGCCGCTTCACCCACGGGCCTATTATATACATGTTTTGCTTTTTTTATATATTTATAACTTGCTTGGTACCACATAGCACTTCGTGGCACCTACCTTTTCTTCAGTTTGTCCTACAATTCGTTTGAAGTGTTGAAAGACAGGTTGTGAAATTTTTCTACCCTCACATGAGTAGGCATCCCACTTCTTGAAGCTTACAATGCCTTGCCTATCATAAAGTATTTTTATCCCTGCCGGGCTGTGCTGTAGGTTTGACTTCACTCAAACTAGATTCATCAGCAGCCCTAGCTGGACTCGGAACCGGGTTAACATGTCGAGTCTTTACATTGTTGGACTAACCGGGTTTGAGTATGGCTAGCAGTGCTGATAAAACTAGCTCATGTAAAGTCTCATCTACAGTACAGTCCATTCGGGACAAGAATACCTTATGAGAAACAAGGCTTTGTGAAATGCAATAAGTGGGATTCCTATTCATGTGACCAGATGAGGCGAGATCGAAAGTGTAATCTGCTCCAGCCTGGATGAATACATCGTTTGAGAAGCAGGGCCAAGTAAAATTCACTTGAATTATGAGGCTTGTTCATATGATTTTGGTAAAATCCAACAACCCGTCCTTCATCACCTCCAATGAAATATGGTTATTATCGCTCTTACAATTCGCATTTTGTCATTAAAATTGACCATACTACTTATATTCCGATTGAGTAGGGTTTCACGACAATCAGTACAGGACAATAGGACACCTATTCAGGAGTTTCTGGTAGTCGCGAAAACCTACTTTATGAAAATATAAATAATGTAGTCGATTTGAATGTCAAGATAGCTGTTTGCCTCCCCAACAATCCATGTATAAAGTGTCATATGAAAGGGCTCTTTCCTTCAGTGAAGTAAGTAGTCTCGTAATAATGCCACTTGCAACAAAAATAAAAGTGTCTCTTGGCTTGAAATGGAGTCAAGATGTCAAATCTGCCTGAATTCAATTGCGAATATTGAAAATCGGGTCTATCCTGTAATGGCCACTTCGAGGTTTGTTAGTGCATCCGAGGAGACATCCTTCTAATGCTATGCTCCATGACCCTACGACCTCATCCAAGCGTCTTTTCACGGTAAATTTGCTATTCTGCAAGGTTGAAAAGACCATATTTGGTGAGATTATATTTATTAAGCATTAATATTGTGGCTAGCTCATGCAGTTCGTCGGTTGATAGAGGACCTGGATAAGTTGCATAATATGCGAATGTGTTCGGCCTCTGCCTCAGCCGAAACGACATGTTGAAATCAACTGGGAGCAAGCCTCGTGCTACAGAAATAAACTTACCGAAATGGACAATGGAAGGGATCGAAATGCAATGAACTTTGAAGTGAATAAACTTGAATGCTCTTTTGAAATATTTTTATTGTGTAAATCAGTTTTCTCTTCTGGGAACTGTATTTTTCATGAGCATTTTTATGTCGTAGCAACTGCAAACCGATTCGACAAAGAAACTCGACAAAAATCGAGTGGCTGCGAGAGGCAAAAAATATATTTCGACTCATCGACGAGGATGGTGATGGATGGATCAGCACGAGCCAACTCAAGGCTTTTCTCCTCCGAGAGGGTTTTGGTCCCGCCGAGATTAAGGTACGCTTACTTCGGTTTTGAAGTTATATTTTATTTTGATCCTTTCCAAAATAGAACATAGATCGTTACAT